CGTATGCAACCAAGCCGAAAAGTACCCATCAGCATTGACTGGCAACAGCCACAATCAAGAAAGGAACCAGTAGGATACCACCAAATCAAGGGACACTAGGCCCTTTGCGCCAGAGATCGAAATGGTGGCATCAGATTTTTTTTTTCGCGTTATCCTGATCAGGCCGAGAGAGTTAGTTAGAAACCGGGCAAAAAGGCAAAGTCTAAGAAAATCCATCATACCATCTGTCTCTCTATACATGCGGTATAGTGGTGTTAGAATGACGCTCACTATTTTCTCTTGAGCCAGCCAACCGATACGGCAGCCAACTTGCCCCAGCCTCACAGCAACCAAACCAACTCCACCCAAAGGGCTGGCTAGTTGCTTTGACTTTATTGCTGGTCGAGAGAAGCGGTATCCGCACTGAAGATCATGTACTGGTACAAAGCTACTCGTGGAAGCCTACCAGAGCTCCAAGGCAGCCTACCCCATCAACAAGGCTTTGCTTAGCTGAATGTAATGTCGATAAGGGACGACAGGAGAGCGTATACGAATAATCTGTAATCTGTATCAAGTCAATATTCGTAGGACGTGTCTCAAAGTATCATGCCCCAGGTCTCAGAGCAGTGCAGGGGGCAGCCTGCGGCTCTTGCCCTGACGCCATGTTACTGACTGGTAACGTAGATGAGCCGCGTGTTTTACAGCAATCACTCATCCAGGTTACGAGCACGACCTGCTTGACAAGGGGTAGTCTGTTGGCGCCCAACAAAGGGGCCTTGCTGCGGCATCTCTGCCAGTATAGACTGACCACGGCAGCTCACCTTTGCCCAACAGACCTTATTAGTAGTCTTGACGGTTTTTCTGCCAAGGTCCGCAGGACCTCCCTGGAGGCGCAGATGAAAGCACCAGGAGTATTTGGGCATGATGGTTACGAATATGCTTCCTGCTCGCCCCTGTTGGCACACCCCTGGCTGGGAGGTCGCGATCATCAATCTCCGAGTCTTTTCGCAGTTTTCTTTGTTTGCATCTTTGACAAAGTATGACTGGTAGGGCTCTTGTCTCGTCTTGTCTTGGTTTGCCCTCTTTTCTCTAACTACTTGTCTCTTCAGCTTCCCCGGATTTCCACAGGGTAGAAGTGACGTCGCTTGCACGAAGATCGTTATATAGACTTTGCGCCGCGCAGGGAACCGGCATATCTTTCTGTGCTTGAAGCTAGGAAGGGGGTGAAATGCCAGCTGCGAGAGAACGGACAGACCGCTAATCGCCAAAATTAAGGTGGCAAAACGCGACAACAGCCGCTGACCGCCAGCGCTGGTTCGTCTGGCACACCCCCTTGAAAAGTCGCAAGGAATGCTTCACCGACTTGGTGGTGTAGCAAAATTTCGGTTGTCGGGCTGGACGATGCGTACCTGCACGAAACAAGGCGTTGGGAATACGACAGCTCAGAAAAGACATCACCACCCATCCAGGAACGGCGGGTTTTTTGTTTCTTTTTCCTGCTTGGTGGTTCTCTGGACAAGGGAGGGCAGCGAATGGCAGATCTCACCTCAGATCCGAGCCCCATCCGCATGGTCCCCCTCCTCTCGACCAGAAGCCTGGGTGCGCTTCCCAAACAGCCGGGAAATGGGCTGAGCTGGGCTGGGTCTAGCTGTTCATCGGCACAAGGGGGGGGTGGGAAAGGACGTGAGGGCGACAGGTCTGTCGTCTGTAGGTTGATGCATACCCTGCTTATGCCAGCGGTAACTGGCTGGCTAGACTTGAGAATGGTAAAGAAACTGCTGACCGCCCCTTTTTTGAGGACACGTCCGGGTTATTGGTGAGTACGAGACTATGGTTGCATGTAATATTAGCATGACAGCATAACAAGAATTTGACCAGAATAGACACACCAGCCCCTGTAACAATACGAGGCCGGTTGTTAGTTAGGGTACTCTGGCCCTGGGCTGGGTACCTCGCATTGCGAGTTTTGCTTCTTATTTTTGGTAGCAAGCCATAGTTATCCAATATCCAATCTGACGGCCCAAGCAAGCAGCCATCCAGTATTGCTTTTGAGTCGTCTGACGGAGCCAAGCCCTTAGTGCCCCTGCTTTTCGGACAAAGCGCTGGGAAAGAAAGAAGCGGGCGAAGAAGGGAAAAGAAAACCTACAAATGCAACGAGGTTACTTTCTTGGGGGATTGATGCTCTTCAAAGGCGGTTAAAAGGTTGAGGAGAGAGAGGAAGTTAGCGCAAAACATCCCCTGAGAGTGCAAGCAGGTGAAGCAACTGGAGAGAGCCCGTCATAACCCGCAATAGTTTGGCAAAGAAGTCATGCTACTTGCCTACACTGACTGCCAAGACCTCGCTCACTCTGGAGCCCGCCAGCAGTTTCTTTTTAGGGACCTGGGGGTTCATGCTAACGGCGGCCGATAAATGTTTGCCCCGGCTCATCCGTCGTCATTGTGCCTTGTGGCGCCCCGCAAGGAGCTTGGTGACCCCATTTCCAAGGGCATGCTGTCTTTTCGTGCACGAATCGCTCGACTTGTTCTGCTTGGCCGTGCTTTGTGGCGCTAAATGGACGGTTGGATTGCAGGGAGAGACAAGTTATGCTTGTAAGACAGCAAGGCTCGCTGGCTCGGCGTACCATCCTGGCTTGACAGCAAGCTGCTCATGGCAGTACAGGTTTATCTGCTCTGAAAAATGGCGAAAAACAGACGATATGAGCGACTTGGTGCTGCTTGACGCCGACTTTTATTCTGGTAAAATCGTGATTGAGGAGCTGATACGAATAGTGCCGTTCGTGTTGACACTAACATCTACAGCATCGAGAGGCGTCGTCGGCTTTGTTGTCTAGTGCACGGTTACGAATTAGCACAGGCAGCAACTGCGATTCCGAGTCTCCCATTGAGCTAACACCCAAGGGCAAGTTGGCGGGCTGCAAGAGTACGAGACGAATGGCTGGGGGCATTCTCTGCCAATGGAGAGAAGCAGCCGCAAGGGTGAGACGTTGACGCGCCCTGCAACGATAGCATCATTAGTCGGTTGCTGACCGGCACATTGAACGGCCCCCTCTCTGGCGCTGGCACACCGCGTCTTGGTGCTCATGTGGACAGTGTCGTCGTGGCCGGCTGTGTTGGCGAGGACCTGGGCGGTGGTGCGGTGTGGTTGCCGGTGCAGCTTTGATTGGGTGAGATAGGGCAAGGTTTCTTCGGCTGTGGGTGAATATCCAGCCTGTGCATCTTGCTTCCTCTTTAGTGATATGTATGCATATGTATTGATGCGCAGTAAGTCATGGTTGATGATGGTCTTTGATGGCTATGATAACAGAGGTATGGAGGTAGTTAGCTACAAACGTGAAATACTCCAGGCAACTCAATGATTTGCCTTGGGAAAGCACCTCGGCGTGCGCCTGCCCTCCATTACAGCACTGCAGCGCACTAAAATTGCTAAATTCCAGCACACCACCTTCTTCCGCAAGGAAACACCGTACCTGGGCCAGCGCTGCTACAGTTGGGTTAGTACCTGTAAGTTAGTCTGCTAACCAGTGTATGTTTGAGCCAAAAGTCCATCTTGTCGTGGTCCTAAGTACCTGTACGACTGGCGCTCCGCATGCTGGCCCGTTCTCTGTCACGCCACGCTAGACACACGGCTGCTCTCATTCCACACACCTCCCTCTTGCCCCTCAAGGCACATTCTTGTGCGGCAAAGAAGGGCAGAAAAAAAAAGAAATGGAAATGGAAAGGAAAGAAGCAAGAAGAAAAAGCACACACCCCTCTACCCACCCCTCCCCCAGGTCTGCTCAGCACCAGCGCTCCGCACCGCAACTCGGAGGCCCGGCTGCTGCCTTTGACTCAAAAGGATTTTTTTTCTCTGCTGCTGGGCTGGCTGGCTGTCCTAGAGCCACCCTCCACCACGACAGCAAGTACTTCATCATCCACCACCCACACAGACCTGGGCCAATTCGCCTCCAACTCTCTTTTCGACTTCCAGCCTCTGTTTGTTCTCCTCTCCAAATCAACATTATTCCAGGTTTCATCATCGTTACGACGAGCAACGACTCTTTCGACTTGCAGCTACATCTGCCGCGCAGATTGCATAAACAGACCGCACTACGCCTTCACCTCTCGCCACCTTCACTACAACGACGCCCCAAGACAACTTACGCAGAAGCTTAGAGTTGTGATACCACCAGCTGCATCGCAGCCCATCATCTCGACAACCACGCAGATTCTCCAAATCTGTCATTGCCGCTGCTGTGCGACTTCCACGCCACCGTTTATTTTCTGCTGCCTGCTGCCACGCCAGTCCCGCCCCCAGGAAAAAGGGTCAGCTCAAGCCGGCCTCTTCCACATCCCACGTCGTATCCTGTCAGTATTCTCTACCTGCCTGCGCCTGCAGAAACGCCCACGCCCACGCCCACCTCGCGACGACAGGCACCCAATCTGCAGACTGCACATCGCCCACAATTGACGTGGTCGCTGCCCTGCCCGACGACAGCTCTGCCACAACAGTCCGACTGGTCAGATCGACGACATCCCATCCCCGGTGCCCTAGCTCCCGCTCCCGCACCACGCGCCTGCCGCCACACCTACGGCGGCCTGCCTACGCCGCTCTGCTCTCTCTGCCTGCATATCTGCCTTTCTGCAGCTCTCATCGCCCGCATCCGTCCATCTAGAGGTAGCTTCTGCAGCACCAAGCTCGCGACAAGCTCGCGACAAGCTCCCCTTGGAGCTCCAAGGACCCGCTTCTGTTGTTGCCCGTCTATTTGCGCCAGCGCATATCCCTCCAGACATCAACCTGCAACCCACAGCCCACGAGACACACAAGCACACAAGCCCTTCTCCCTCCGGCACCTATTAACCTCTCGACCTCGCTCTCGCCGCCCTGCGCAACTGTCTCGTCTTTCTCGTCATACTTCAACATGCACGCCGTCCCCTAGACCCGCCATTCATAGATGACGACACTTGCATAGAGGCCGCCTCGCCTCTTTCTTTCAACTCTTGTGTGTCCCTACTGCCACCTCTTTCCTGCGAACGCAGACAACATGGTCATGCTCTACAAGACTGCACGACCCATTCCAACCACATCACCAACCCAAGACATGAACAACATGTCGTCCTTAACAGCCCAACTTCGGCGTCGCCCGAGCCCAGCCATGGTACAAACAAATGTCCAACCTCAGCACTCAAACTCGGTCCCCATTTCTGCTATAAGCGCCTCTTCTGTTGCCTCCTCCCGCCAGGCCTCGCCCGCCATGTCGCCTGATACCGCGGTCCTCACCACCAACTCCTCCCTCCAGGCTTCCCCGGATGCCTCCCGCCCTCGGCCCGACGACGACATCTGCCCTCCCAACTTTCAGCTGCCAGAGTCCATCGTCTCTCGCAAGACGAGCGTCAACTCCTTAGCCCAGAGCTGGACCGGCAATGCCAGCCCGCTAACCGAGATGCCCAGCAACGGTCCTGCCTCGCCCATTCCTACCCCTGCCAAGAGCAACCTCATACGCCGCCTTTCCAGCCGCGCATCCCGAAGTATTACTAGCCGCAGGAGACAGTCCTCGGCGGCTCCTTCCGGCCGCGATGGCAGTGTTGGCCCTTGCTTCTTGCGCAGGCGCTCGGACAGTAACACCGGCGCGCCTCCCGAATTTGCTCCTGCACACACGGACTCCGAGTCCGACTTTGATGACAGAGATGAGTTTGGCTCCCTGCGCCACAACAACTTCATGCTTGATGGTATCGTCCGTGATGCACCGAAACCACCTACCCGCAATACCACCTCGCCTGTTGGCGGTAGCTCAACCACAATGGCCGGCCCAGTGATTCCTCTGCAGCTTCAGCAAGGCATCTGGCTTCGCAAGATATCAAAAAAGAGCCGCTCTAAGAGAATACGTCTTCAATACGATCCAGACTCCAACAAGCTCGTCTGGGACAAGGCTCGGCCGCAAAAGTCGCTCCACGTGGACGAGATCCGCGAGATCCGCACTGGCTCTGACATTCAGCAGTATGGTCGTGACTTCAAGATTCCCGAATCTGAACGCTCCACCTGGTTCTCTATTCTTTACTCTGTTCCTGAGCGCTCCAAGTCCAAGTTCATGCATCTAATTGCTGATGACATCGAGGCTTGCAACATTTGGACCACCTTTCTGCACGCCATGCTGCGCCATCGTCAAGAAGTCATGACCTCCCTCATGTCTTTCAACGATAACGCCATTGCTCAGTATTGGCAGACCGAAATGGCCAAGCAGCCTGACTTTGGGGGCGCTTACCAAGAGCTGGATCTCGCTGGTGTCCTTCGTGTATGCCAAAACCTTCACATCTACTCTTCCCACGTCATTGTTCAGGCAAACTTTCGCATTGCTGACGCCCGCCGTGGTGAGCGTCTTAACTTTAGCGAGTTTCTCACGTTTGTTCGCCTCATGAAGCAGCGCAAGGATATTCAACACATAATGCGCTGCCACTCAGCCAACCCTGAGCTTGGCATGACCATAGCCGAGTTCCTCGACTTCCTAAGTGATGTACAGGAAGAGGATGTGATCGGTAATCGCGCAACTTGGGAAAAATCTTTTCTTCGACATGCCCGCAAGTATCGCTCTGAAGGCATCCCGGAGGGGCTCGAGGAGGTCATGTCTGAGGACGCTTTTGTCGCTTTTCTCAGCTCCAGGCATAACGCGCCTGTCGCGGATGAGCCCCAAGACTACACCCTCGATCGCCCAATGAACGAGTACTTCATCTCCAGCTCCCACAACACATATCTCCTCGGCCGTCAGGTCGCTGGTAGGTCCAGCATTGAAGGTTATATCTCCGCCCTTGTGCGTGGCTGCCGTTGCGTCGAGGTCGACTGCTGGGATGGCCCAGATGGCCAGCCCCAGGTTGTCCACGGCCGTACCCTCACCACCTCCATCAGCTTCCAGGAGGTAATGACCACCATCAACAAGTACGCCTTTGTCAAGTCCAACTTTCCTTTGTGGATCTCCCTTGAAGTGCACTGCAATGCCGCGCAGCAGGCTATCATGGCCGAGACCATCAAGGAGGCATTCGGCTCTCGCCTCGTCACAGAGCCGCTGGACCCTTCTTCCAACAAGCTGCCTTCACCCTCGGAGCTGATGGGGCGCATTCTCATCAAAGTCAAAGAGCCCCGAATGCGCGACGATACCAACATGAACAGTACGGCTGTGATTGCCCAGGCCACCCGCCGTGGTCGTGGAAACAGCGTTGGCTCCTCTAGCCAGCCAGTCCACATCTCGCAAAGCCCCGCGCCCTATATTTCGCAGTCACTTCCCCAGAGTCCCCTTCTCGGCGGCTATCCGCGACGAGTGGCAAGTAGCAGCCGTCGCAGGGTACAAACCATCAACGAGGAGATTCCTCCAATGCGTGACTTGAGCAGCCACAGCGACACAGAGAGTGGTAGTGACACAAACTCTGGCAACCAATCGGCTAACAAGACCATCCCCGTGCTCGGTAAACTTGGGGTATACTGCGCTGGTGTGAAATTTCCTGGCTTTGACGCTCCGGCTGCTAAGAAATTCAATCATATCTTTTCCTTTATGGAGTCGAGCTTCTCCAAGAATTCGCGCTCCAAGGAGGACAAAATGTCGCTCAACATCCACAACATGCGCTACCTCATGCGCGTCTACCCTGATGGCACCCGCCTTGCCTCGAGCAACTTTGATCCGCTCATATATTGGCGACGGGGTGTACAGATGGCTGCTCTCAACTGGCAGACATTCGACCTAGGCATGCAACTTAACCGCGCCATGTTTGACGGAGGCCAGGACTCGTCTGGCTACGTGCTTAAGCCCCAGGAGCTGCGTGACATTCAGGTGCTCCCTTTCAACTCAGACATTGCCCGCGGCAAAAAAGAGCGTTCGGTTGTGTCATTCTCCATCGACGTGCTCTCTGCGCAGCAGTTGATGCGACCTGCCAATCTCGCCGCCAGCAAGGCAATGGACTTCTATGTCGAAGTCGAAGTCTTCCACACCAATGACAAGCGCGACAAGAAGGAGGAGTCCTTTGAGGGCGAGCGCGAGACAGACACGCCCCTCAAGTTTCAGACAGAAGTCATCCGTGACAACGGGTTCTCGCCCATGTTCATGTCGGGTCAGTTCAAATTCAAAGTCGTTACCAAGCACCCGGAGCTGGTCTTTGTGCGCTGGTCTGTGAAGCTGTCCAATGATGGCGAGAGCTACAGTACCAAGGACCGCCCGCCGATCGCGAGCTATACAGCCAAGCTATGCAACCTCAAGAAAGGCTACCGCACGCTACCCCTTCTCAACCACGCAGGCGACCAGTATCTGTTTTCGACGCTCTTCTGCCGTGTCACAAAGGACAACATTGAAAAGACGCTGATTGACGCGCCGCGTCCGCCGCCGGACGGGAGCAAGCTCAATCGCCTAGGCGGCAAGGTCTTTGGGCGCAGCAACACGAGCCCACGCGGCACCATCGAGAAGTCGAGCACGGAAAAGACGAGCTTTGAAAGCTTCAGCTAACCGTGCCGTCGACACCAAAAAGCAACATGTTCTGCTAGCAGTGCTAGCCTGGTGATGTTGACTGTCACCCATTCTATTCTTTCCTATCCTCTTTCTTTCTTTTACTTCTTGAGCTTAGCTCGGTGATGGATATCATTTTGATCGAGATTGTCTTTTTCCTTTGTTTTTGAAGCATGACCTGTAGCACAGACACGCATACCTCATCACACCACTGGTTGGAACCAAAATACCCCCCTTCCTTGCTTTTGCCTTCGTCACTGTTCCTCTTCTTCTTCAGGCGAACACAGATTGCACCTGGACGAAAGTGCGAGTGTGAATCACGTCAACCTTTTTTCTTTTCACTTGGGTTCTTTTACTGCTTTTTTCCTGCACTACGCAACATCATACATACTGCATATATTTGGAGCATTTCATGCCGGAAGGTTCAAAAAATTACGCACATCTGACATCATCTTTTTTGGGAAAGAATGGGAGCTTTGTCGGGATTTTGGTATAGACACACGCAAACAATGGAAATCTTCGGACAAGAGATTATCTTGTTATTTTTACAACATTTATTTTTTCTTGCTTTTGATGTTCTGTGCGGTGCTCGTTTTGTCGATGCGATAAGTAAAGGATGGGTTCTCCACGGCTTGTTGCCGGTAACGTACGGTTGGCGTTATGGTATCCTACTCGATTAGCTTTGACGGTATATAGCAGCCGGCTTTTCTTTTTCCATTCACATGTACATTATGCACCTTGAATATGCACCTTGAATAAATATTTGCTTAAGAATACAAGACAATGGTATTATGCCATGTGAAGCAATAGCAGGCGTGGTTTCAGATCGTCAAGTAGTATATAACAACATTTCGTCTCATTTTCTTTCGCCTCCTGCCTAGTCTACACCCTCGTCCTCATAGCTCCCCGCGTCTTCAGTATTCGTACGCTTGGGCGTCGTCGTCTGACCGCCACCGCCACCCCTTAGCACGCCGCTCGCGCCGCCGCGGCCCCAGTGGCCACCGCTGCTGCCGTTGCTGTTCATACGCGCCGGGCCGCTGCTGCCGCCGCCTGGCCGCCGCGGCTGTGGTTGCGGCTCCTCATCGTCGGAGTCGACGAGGTCGTTGTCAATGTCTTCGAGCTCCTCCTCGATGGTGCGCCCTCGCGGGCTGAGACGTCGCAGCGGCATGGTGTAGCCATTGCCGTTGGGGCGAGGGTCCACGTACAGGTTCGGGTCGCGGCCAAGCAGGCGGTCCGCCTTGCTGGCTGGCTGGCGCTGCTGCTGCGGCTGTGGCTGGCCGTAGTAGGACGGCGGCTCCGGGGGAGGCCCGGCCTCGCCCCAGCCGGCATCGATTTCTCGTTGGCGCTGGCGCTCCCGCTCGATACGCACCCGATCGCAGGCCTCGAGCCATTTGGGGCTCGCCTCCCACGCCCATCCGTCGCCGGTCGTGTTGCAGATTGGGAAGAGCCACAGCGCCGGAGTCGGGCCTAGCAGGTGCGTCATATTCTTGCGCCAGCCGAGGTCGAAGGCGCTAGGCAGCTTCTCGGCGTCCCGCTCGTCGAGGTACTCCTCGTAGCGCCGGCGGCTCTGCTCGCGCTCCATCTCCGCGTACGAGCGCTGCCGCGGGGGCGGGCCACCACCCGGCAATGGCGAGGATGGTGTTAGTTTGCGGTAGGCCGTCGGCCGATCTTGGGCCCAGCGCTGCTCCTCGCCCTCCTCGGGTGCCGTGATACCTGGTAGCGCGGCGGTGTGGAAGTCGACAATCTGCTGCGCGACAGGGTGAAACTGGTTCTGGGGGTCGTGGGCCAGGTTGTAGGAGCGCCGCAGCGGCGAGAGGTAGCGCGTCTTCTCGAGACACTCGATCGTCGTCTGCCCGCGCATCGAGAGCATGATGTGCCAGCCGGTAAAGATGCCAAGGACGATACCGATGATGCCACTCATGACGGACAGCATGATGTAGTTGACGGGCATGAGGTTGTCCACCTCCTGCGTGATGCCACTGATGACCTGCGTCCACACCCAGGTTCCGCTAACGGCGAAGGCGTACCAGCAAAGCAGCGTGGTATAGCTGAGGAAGAGCAGGAAGGCCTTGTAGTTGCGCAGCCCGACGCAGGTCGCGAGCCACGGGCAGTGGTGGTCCATCTTTAGGACGCACCGCTTGCAAGTGGAGCAGTGGTGCGCGCGGTCGGGCTTGCGCGCCTGGCACTTCTTGCAGAAGCGCAGCTCGCCGTTGCTCTTGACGGTTAAGGACGTCGTCGCGGGGCGATTGGGTTGGGCCGTGGGCAGCATGCCGTAGCCTTCGGTCGTCGTGGTCGAGCCGGCGGGCGTGAAGACGGCAATGGTGTAGGACCAGTTTGCGAGGAGGTAGATGGCGATTCCGACGGCGGAGGAAGCCTTACCTACGAACAGGGGGGAGGGGTCAGCGTCAGGAGAGCTTCACGGCGTGGTCCTACGGTTGGTTGTTGCCGCGCGGCTTGCCTTACCTTGCCACATAATGTTGGTATCTTCATTGCCAATGTTGATAATCGTCACGACGGCCCATGTTGTCAAGCCATAGACGAACAGTAATGGAAAGTACTTGACGATCGAGCAGCATGTGCGCTCGAGCCGGCGCGCCCAGCGCCGGGCCATTCTGTCGTCACCCGGGCGGCCGGTGGCCTCGAAGTGATGCTCGGACTCGGAATCCAACGTGTCGGTGCTCTCAATGTCTTATTTCTGCTTCATAGATATGGTTCGTGCCGCTGCGAGGTGAGACTTTTGTTAAATTCGAGTATTTGCTTCGGTCTTTGTCGATGTGGCGGGCAATGGCCCTTCTCATGTTACGAAAGTGTTTGCGGATGAGGCAGCACAGATTAGGTCATCAGGGGCGAAGCATTCGCTGCGCCTCGCCCCAGGAACAGCCTCCTTACCCTGTACCAAATTCATGAAAAACTTCTAGTTCGGTAGGAGGCGGTATTTGGGCATGAAAAAAAACTATTTATATTTGTACATGTATTTTTGCCGTCTATTCAGCCTTTTAAAGGCTCTGACACGCCATTCTAGCCACCACAATTATCGCTCGGACTTGTAGGCATGATTGATAAGACCGTAGGAAAGCAGAAGTTCAATGACTAACAAACATTCGCAGCCCTGTTTGGCCTCAAAGTAATTTTACCAGAACACCTTTTTGACCACGTCTTTCTTTACGCTGTACTCGACAGCATCTCTCTGGGAATTAGTTTCCGCCTGCACAATTCCCCCCGTGAGCTGGTCCACAAAGGCACCGTAGTGCTCCGTCTCTCGAATAAGGCAGCGCGCCCCTGCTGACTCGGCATGGTACATCATTGCCTCGGCAGATTTGAAGATTCGCGAGCACTTCGGGCACTCATACGTCTTAGGCCCATGGGCAGGGGAATTGAGATGCCTGATGATGCCCAACTTTGTATCGTAGTATTTACTGTTTTCGTTAGCCCAGTCAATGGCGTGATATATATATGTTCGTAGCGTCCAGCTTACCCGCATACTAGCTTTGGGCAAATGTACTTGTTGATGACGGTTGAAAAGTAAGTAGACGCGTTAAAGTATGGATTTTCCGGATCATCCATATCCATCGAGTCCTCCATGATGGCGGCTGACTGGGATGCCGCCGTATTGGTACGGGGCTGGGCCATTGTTGGTTGGCCCCTCTTCTCACGATCTTTTGCAATCGCAGCTTGTATATCTTTGGTTCCCCAAGCACCCTGCCACTTGGCCGCCAAGGATGCTGATGCTTGTGAGACCAAATTATTCGTTCCATCCGGCGTGTCCGTTTTGTTGGGCTTGTCTGCGCTGTAAAGCTCAGTCGTTTCATCCAGCTCATTCGTCTTATGAAGCTTATCTGTTTGATCACTGGGAAGTACTGGAAAATCGGCATCCGTGATGTCTCCCGGCTTCTCTGCGCTAGGAGCCTCGACAACATCAACCCATGGCGTGACACTCGCTTCCGACATGTAGCTGACGAAGCTTCCTTTAACCGGCTCACCCGATTGCTTTTCAAGCTCGCGATGAAAGTTCAGCTTATTCTCTCGCCGCGCCTCCAGATCTTTCGAGCTGATGCGCGTGCATTGCCCACGCTCGATGTGCGCAATTAACGCGCCAACTAGGTTGAAAGGACCCTGATTGCAGCCGGGGCAGCGAAGATCCTTACTGGGTTCGTGAGACTGCAAAGAAAAGCTTAGAATCATTACTTTAAAGAATGACGCTGGATATGGTTACAACTTACCCGTTGGACGTGCAAGTGTTCACTCCTGGCCACTTCAAACTCCTGACCACAGAAATGGCAGCCTTTGTGACCTGGCTTTCCCAGGTCTCGCATCGCGCATTTATGTTCCCAGAAAAGATTCCAAGAGGGAAACTTGAGCCCACACGGCCGGCAAGAAAAGTCCATGGCCGCGAGATTGTTTGGCGTGCAGGCTTTGCAGGCGAGCTGAATGTTACAAAGAGATGATGGTGATGATGATGATGATGATGATGAAGATGAAGATGGAGAGAAAATAACACACTGGAAGCCAGGTACTAACATAATAAAGCAAAAGTTGATGCGGCTCGTTTGCAACACTGCCAGCTGGAAACGCTGCCAGCTGGCAGTGATGCAAACGCTAATGGGCGGCCCAATACGTGAGCGTCATACCAGGTAGCCATCCTACGCTTAACGAAGTATTTCGAGAAATCCCATGAAACATGACCGTGTTATGAAGCTCGGAGCCTGATACATACTGTAGCCCGTGTCATCAACCGACGTGTACTCAAGGTTAGGAACCTCAGATTGGCTACTCCAAGGCTGGGTAGGCCTCGTCAACATCATCTCTGTCATTCAAATGACCACTGCCGAACTCGTAAGAGTATGGGCCGCTATACGCTGGCGGATGATAATCTGGCTCATTGTTGTCCTGATATTTATAATCATCCGCCAATTCATCGAGCTGGTCATCTTCCAGATCAGAGCCGCTTTCATCCTCATCATTGCTGTCCGCGCCGGAATCCTCATCATTGTCAATGGCTTCTGTCGGGGCTGGTGAACTTGCTACCGATGCAAGATCGGTTGTCGTTGATGCCGCTGGAAGACTCTTTAGTTTCACATTGTAACCCTGGCTCCTCTTCTTCGGCGGTTTGCGGCCACGTAGTGCCGTAAGCTCTTCGTCTGTAAGCCGCAAGTTTGGCAGTGGCAGGTGAAAATTACTCGTCGTCGACCTGACCGGCGTCATGTCGCCAAATTGTAAAGTAGTCGCGAAGTCTGCCCGCGAAAGTTGCCTACCAAATCGAATAGCAATCAATTTTGTCTTCATAATGGCCTTGACCTTGGCCCACAGCCCGCCGTGGTACCAGCCGCTGCTGGTGTCCCACGTTGGACGCACTGCCGCTTGGCCGAGAAGCTCGCGAAGTAGCGGGTCGGTAATATCGCAGACTTGCCAGACCTTCCCATCGGTATCATATGTTTCGCCGTCAAAAATATGGCTTGTTGTCCCGGCTGGTGCCTGGCGCTCCTCAACCTTTTCTGGACGAGTGTACGTCCGAACGGCGGTAGGGCCTTGCGGTCCCTTGTGCCTAGTCAACTTGAACATGAGAGTTTGGAATTCTCGATATTTTGGATGTGTGCGCGGGTCGAGACCGTATGGTACCACGCAGTCTCGCCAGGGACCGCCCTTGAACTGGTAGGCGGCATAGTTGAGATATTTCTTGAGCTCATTCCAGCTATCAAGCTTGTTGCCGAGATGATTCAACAATGAACGCCGTGTCCAAATAGGGCGTTCGGCAAATGCCATCTCCAGGTCAGCCAGAACTTCCATGAAGCGAGCGTCCGTTACATCCGGAGGCTCCTGAGGACCAGTGGGCGTGGGATCGTCGACGCTGATAAAGTATCCGACTTGCTTGACAGCAGTCAGGTTGACTGTGCCGCCATCTGCAGTGGTGCGGACGTATGGATTTTGGGAGTAGAAGTAGTTGAACGGAAGGCTCATGTGCGTGAACAACGGTGGCGGTATCACGTCCGAGTTGGGGGTCTTGTCGATGCCTGGCTCCAACACAAAGGCCTTCATTTTTTCCACTATAATGGCTGTTAGTATGACTTTAATCGATTCCCAGGGGTAACTTGCCATCTCCTGAAAGGACTTGGTCAACGTATCGGCTCGTAAAAGATGACGTGGACATGTCCCAGTAGAAGTCTGCAAGACCGCGGAATCGATGAGTATGATGAATGACCCCTACAGCTTCTACATTGTAGCAGCCAACGTTGTCTTGTAGCTTTCTTTTCAAGGCTTTAGGCTCGTCTTGCCGAGCAATGGAACGGACGGGCGCGACGAGTTCGGCTTCACTGATGTCTCGCTCGCCTTCCCAAGGTCCCGAAGAGCCACGCTTCCTCTTTCTTCCGGTTCGCCTTGGAACAGTGATTTTGAGCACAACATTATGTGAAGCTGCATTATGAGACATGATCGGGCTGCAAAATGGGCTCTCTGGGTTGAGATAGAGGGGCAGTGAGTTGCGTCGAGGGTCCATTACCTACGACAGCTGTGAGCAGGGCATAGCCACTGAGGAACACATAACTTACATGATCAAAGGATGACACCCTGCCAAAGGCACTGATAGCGCGTTCAATATTTTGAACAACAGCAGGAATCTCTACAGCAGCAATATTTGTGTTGGGTACGGTGTAGGTCGGCGCATTCTGCGTTGCGGTGTCACGCCTGGAGCTGGGTCTTGCAGCCGGCGGTTGTGTTTTTGAGGAATTGGGAACAGACGCCATAGTGTGGATTTCAACATGAAATAGAATCTGCGTCGTATCTGCAGGTTGGTCTTGCTGGAAAAGGACGTGAAGCCTCTGATGGCCTCTTGCTTTATGCTGCGGCGGGTGCTATGAGAGCTTGGCGCTGTTCTCGGCAGCACACGTTCCTTACGCGGGAAAGGCGCCGTTACAAGGCGGATATAGCCTTATACATAAAGAGAGGCTAGATAGTTTCGCGATGTAAAGAATATGAAATAGGTTGATGTGCTCTACCAGGTGGTTGTGGTAAGTGCAAATCTTGACCTGGGCATGTGTGTAGGCCGTGCGGATACTGTATATAGACTGTATCGAGTTTATTTGGTACTGGCGCAAAACAACAACAACCCATCACGAGACGGCTTGAAGTGGAGGCTGGCTGGTACTGGGTGGTTGGTCAAGAATTGGGTAAAACAGACGGTATGAGAGACAGTTTAATGGTATTTGACACGGAACTGCATAGCTGAATTCCTCAGTGCCTACCTATACAAATTTTCGCTTTACTTGCCACAGTTGGAGGATCTGCTAATGAAATGAGCAAGTTCACCTGCCAGGTCTACAGCACGTCGAGCGGCCCGTTACATCAGTGCGTGCTTTGTTGATGCGAGCAGCCACCCACTTGCCGCCAAAATATTGAGCTGTATTCCATACCTCATAATTGATTAAAACTCTTGTACTCCGTAGCAGGTCCGGCGTAGTATCTAACTTAGTATTTTGCTTGCACAGTTGCGTAAAAAGTTGATTCCCGCAATCAGTGACCCTGACAGCTCCAGAAGCCTCCTCAGTTGCTCGAGCACTGTACCTGCCTTGGTCCTCTAGCGCATTTCCCCGCCTCAGCGTCTCCAGCCTAAGGTACCTAGCACCTCTAACTGGCACATTAGGAACTTAGAGGTACATGTGTCTCTGTTAGCCCAAGACAGTCCTTAGGCGTCAGATACGGCCTAACTTCACCGCAGTCCTAGCACTATGTACCTGGCCTTCCCAGGGAATGTGAGGTACCTTTAGGTATCTGCTAGGGGTGCCACCGAACAGACGGCGGCAGCAACCGCACCTCGCCTCGATTGTGCGCTGCATCAACACCACCTTGATTCTCAGTCCTCTCCTCTTCACAGCCGGCGCGGCTTTTCATCTCCAGTCTCCTTGGCCCATCCCCAGATCCTCGCATAGCCTGCAATTCTTCACGCATGAGCCTTCTCTCTGGCCCCAACGCTATCCGCCCACTCCCACCCAACCTGTCCCCTCGCCTCGGCCATTTTCTCTCCGCGCGTTCGAGCCCCCCTGACTGCACCCATCGCGTCGAGCCGCCCTCGAGCTCATCTCCGCCGCCGCCGCTAACCGCTACTGCCAACTGCAAGCGATCGTCTTTGACTTCGCCGGCGCACTTGTCTCCCGGCGACCGTGACGCGCTTCCTTCTGGCTGGCAGAGCAGAGCTGTCTTCGCAGCAACCTCCGCGTCGCCGTCCTACCCCGCCAGACTCACGACCGTGCCACCCGAAGAATAGTACATGGGCGAACAACTCCAAGACAGGATGAAGCGCTTCAGCCAGAAAGTCGTATGTCCACACCCCTCTGCTGCCCCGATTCGTTGGCAAGCAAGGTCCTAATTTTCGCAGCTCTCTCGAGGCAAAGACTCCACGAAGTCGTCCAAGAAGAATAAAGACCCCAAGGATGGCACCGCGTCGCCATCATCGCGAGATCCATCTACGCAGTCGCCAACTCTGACTCCTACCTCCTCGACTACAGCTGTCAATGACATTCGTAACAAGCCCCTGCCGCCAAATTCTACAGACGGCCTTGGTCAGGGCGCTGGCGGCGACAGATTCGGAGCCATGGGTGCCAACTCTAGCCCCAATGGCAACACTAGACTGCCGCCCACAGTCGTGATCAGCCCAACCCCAGGCGTAAGTCAACTCTAGCCAGAACCAAGCTACCGATTTCCAAATACTAATGTTTATCAAATAGCACGTCCCTCCCCCAGGTGCCGCCGAGACGATGCCGCACGACCTCGCCCCTCCCAAGCCCGGCCAAAAGTCGCTCATGATTCACCGCGGAATAGATAATCGCGATGCGATTCCCGAGGGACTTCGAACCCCCAAGCGACAACACTCCTCGCGCTTCGATATTTCTACAAACCGAGACCTTGAAAAGCTGCCTGGGTTCCACGAGGTCCCCCCCAACAGGCGCCAGGAGCTCTTCATGCAAAAGATTGAACAGTGCAACGTCATTTTCGACTTTAACGATGCCAGTGGCGATATGAAGGCGAAGGAAATTAAGCGACTGGCTTTGCACGAGCTTCTTGATTACGTCGCCAACAATCGACAGGTCATCACCGAGCCAATGTATCCCAAGGTGGTCGACATGTTTAGCAAGAACCTTTTTCGCCCTATCCCACCCCCAATGAACCCCCAGGGCGAGCCCTTCGATCCGGAAGAGGATGAACCTGTGCTCGAGGTTGCCTGGCCACATATTCAGGTTGTCTACGAGTTCTTTTTACGTTTCATCGAGAGCCAGGATTTCAACACAAACATCGCGAAGGCCTACATCGACCACAGCTTTGTTCTGCAATTGCTCGACCTCTTCGACTCGGAAGACCCCCGCGAACGCGATTTCCTCAAGACTACTCTCCATCGAATTTATGGCAAATTTCTGAATCTGCGCTCGTTTATCCGTAGATCTATCAACAATGTCTTCTTCCAATTCACCTACGAAACGGAAAGGTTCAACGGCATAGCTGAGCTCTTGGAGATCCTTGGCTCCATCATCAATGGCTTTGCGCTCCCTCTCAAAGAGGAACACAAGATCTTCCTGACTCGTGTACTCCTCCCCCTTCACAAGCCTAGGAGCTTGAGCATGTACCATCCTCAGCTCGCGTACTGCATCGTGCAGTTCCTAGAAAAGGATGCATCCCTAACAGAAGATGTAAGTACTCACCTGCATGCTGATGTCCCATCGCTGACTCTTTAGGTTGTCCTTGGACTTCTCCGCTACTGGCCGAAAGTAAACAGCACAAAGGAAGTCATGTTCCTAAACGAAGTCGAGGACATCTTCGAGGTCATGGATCCTGCCGAGTTTGCCAAGGTGCAAGAGCCGCTCTTCCACCAGCTGGCCAAATCTGTCGCTAGCCCGCACTTCCAAGTCGCTGAGCGTGCGCTCTACTTTTGGAACAATGAGTACTTCTGTAACCTGGTTAGCGACAATGTCGAAATTATTCTGCCAATCATGTTTGCGCCGCTCTACGAGAACTCAAAGGGCCACTGGAACAGGTTCGTCGGCTGCTGCGTTTTTGATGCTGTTCTAGCTAACATGTTTAGAACTATTCACGGCATGGTGTATAATGCGATGAAGCTCTTCATGGAGATTAACCCCCAGCTGTTTGACGACTGCTCCCACGAGTACACTGAGCACCAAAACAGCGCCGCCGAGCGTGAAGCATTGCGAGAGCGGAAATGGGCGGCCCTTGACGAGCAAGCCGAGACGCGCCGCAACTCTATGTCCTCGGACATGGGCGAACTCCCGCAAAGAATACAAGTCACCGCCATGCCCCGCGTCGACGAGACAGATCCGAGCACCGATGACAGCCAGAAGCGTCTGGACTCGCTCCGCCTACAAGACCAGTCTGGCCGCCGGCCCAGCGTTCACGAACGCCAAGGGTCGACCAGCTCAACGCGCAGTCGGTGAGAGCATAGGAGCAGGAAGCTGCGCATCATGCTATAGCTTTATAATATACCATCGACCAAACACTTTGATACGATTTTGAGGCTCTGCATCATGGGGCTCTACCGTAGCCGGAACTATCGTATGGTGCGCATTTCACCACTATTCACGACAGGAGTACCTGCATTGATTTTCTTTTTGCCTTTTGAGTATCTGCATATCGGAGCAACCCGTCTTGATTGGCCCATTTTGCTCGAAAGAAGAGTTTTGACATGCCTTCCTTTTGCCAAGAAGTTGAGCAAGAGGAAGCGCAGAGTGGTTTTCACGTTGTCGGTTCTTGTCTTTTTGTTTGCGGGAAAGGCGGAGGAACTTGCAACTGGCGCACAAAGGATACAAAAATTCGCTACAGTCTTTTGGAGGAGAGTAGAAACATGGCAGCGCACATGGAACGGGGGAATGTGTAGGGGATGACGAAAATGCCTTTCTGCGGTCATCTCTATGCAGCTGCGCGTGGACAGGAGAAGGCAGATACGGCAGGGAAATGGCTTCTCTTGCTCCCTCTTGGTTTCGATCCCGTAACCTGCTACAGGGTCCCCTAGCACCAACAACTTACCTGCCGCTGGTGTTTGTATGGAAGGGCAGAAGAGGGAGAGAGGAGAGAGACAGGAGGGAGAAGGGGGATAAAAGGGGAACTTGAGAAAGGAAAGAAAGATCTTTGTGATCTTGTAGGGGTCGGGAAACTTTTTTTTTTGCGTAATGTAGATGATGACGAAAGAGCACGTTTGCAGGAACATTTTTACTTGTTTATTACTTCTCTACTTTTCCTTCTTTTTTCTTTTTTCTTCTCTGTTGACCAAAGAATAGATTCTTCCATTCCCTTCCATCCTGTTCTTCATACCATCGTGTGTACAATTCTCGTCCTCGCTACCACTTGGGAAGTTCACGTACAAGGGGTTGCTGCGCAGATTGCGGAAACTTTTTTTTTCTCCATCTGGGTTTTGAATTCGCTGTTGAAAAATCCTGTAAATGTTGTTTATCCTGCTCGAAAAGGGAACAATCCTCCTCAGACCCATCCATTTCGCAACGCCTTCCGTTGTTCAACCCAAAGCCCATCCGTGGCACCTGGCCGTCTATCTCCTGTTTCTAGAGGCTCTATTTTGTATGTACAGCTTACTCGTAGGCTCGTCAAATCCACAAGTCACCACCAAGTAATTGATCCTGGAGATCGGGGCTCGTGGTTAGCCGGTTCTTCCATCTAGTTATTTCGTTCTACCCCGGGAGGGCTTTGGGTAACTTACTTGGCATCATCAAGGTGCTTCTGGCGCACGTCTTCCCATCCGTTGTACGCTTCCATGACGGCCTGCGCGCGCTTCCGCTCATCCACGCGCTTCACGCGCAACCGAAAGCTCCCGCTCACCGGCCGATGGTCGCTGACTCGAACCTCGTGCCTCCCGTAGTCGAGCTGCTCAATCTTGCCGTCGGTGCCTCTATATAGCAGCCGATCGCACCACGCCGGGCTGCGCCGCTTCTCGCTGGTATCGTAGCGATCCGTGCCGACGTCGTACTTGTATGTGGGCGCAAAGTTGAGTGGCAGCTCCTCAAAGGCGCGCAATCGAAAGGCGGGGTTCCTGCGCCGCGAGACCAGGAGCTGGTCGCGGTCACGAATCTTGGCCAGATTACCCTGCTTCACCGCGTTCACGACCGTATCGCGAGACATGGTGTCGATTCTGTAGTTCAAGTCGCCATTGATGACGCAAATCTCGTGGTCCATGATCATGGCGCCATCACCACCTCCGCGGTAGTAGTCTTGCCGGGCGGACATGTCACGCTCCATGGGAAACAGGCTGGTCTCCAAGATGGCGGCAATGTCGCCATGGCGTGAGCTGGTCTGTGTTTGGCCTGCAGCCAAGTGACAGTTCACAAAGCATAGCGAGGTGTCATCAATCTGGAATCGGACAGCAATGGCACCCTTGTTGCCGTGCAAGCCCCCCATGCCACGCTTGACCTCAGCACCCTGCAAGTTGCGGATGCGCCCCTGCAGCGAAGACTTGACAAAAATACAGGTAAAGAGACCGACAAGAGGGGCATTAAAAAGCAGCTGGTATAAATGGCCTTGGGGCGTGTAGTCATCCAGAGTCTTGAGCAAAAAGTCTCGCCAATCACGATATCGGTGGCTCATGTTCTCATTGTCTGAGCTGTCCTTCTTCTTTGATTTGAGGAAGCGTTTAGCAGTCGCAGTCTTGTCTTCGAGATCCACCAGCTCTTGGAAGCCGAATACCAAGATGTCGGGGGAGCCACTCGTTTGCACAAATTCCCGGAAAAAGCCCCCGTCACCGTCCGAGTATCGCAAGTTATGGGGTGTCGCAGCTCCCGCATTCCAAGTCATGACCATGAGCGACAGTTCATCAAACTGGCAGTACTGAACCTCACTAGATTTGAGGCTTGCCTCGAGCTGATCGTCCTGCAATAAGCCATCCCAGAACTTGACCTTGCCGTCATTGCCAATAGATACGACTTGCGAACGCTCTATGCGATATGGCGCGGTGACGTCTGTTTTGAGCTGATAGATGGTGGAATCGTGTGCTTGCCATTCCTTCTTCATTATCCACGGATTCTTGGTCGTATCGTAAATGCTGACCTTGCCGGTCGAAAAGCCTACCCATAAATCGGCACCTACTGCTGCCATTGTGTTGATTTTCCAACCACTAACATGGAGAACCCTTTGGCACGAGTAGTCGCTTGTCGAGTAAATGCTAACTTTGCCGTCGACGTGGCCGAAGAAGACGCTTCTCGGGTGAGCATCCATCGTTGTGCCCGACGTGATATCAGCTGTGCCCTCTGTAACCAGAGGCTTGGTTAAGACTTGGAACGTGGTAGACCCGTCGAGCGAGGGCTCAAAGACTCGAATTACTTTGCCCATGGCATGCCACAGTTGCCCATCTGCCACTAGCGAGAACGTTTGACCCCTTGGTACTTTATAGCTTTGAGTCGGGTTCTTGTTTAGATTGGGAATTCCATCGTCATCTGGGCCCCAGATGTGTAGGCAACCGGAGTCGTCCAATGACCAGATTTCGTTTAGGTATCGGTAGGCTGCGATAATTTCGTATCGTCCATGAGCACCAGGCCTATTGCAGACGATACGACTGGACGCAACATCAACTTCCATCATGTCCCCGGAGTTCATGCCGATCCAAATCCTAGTGGCTTCGGTGTCGGGATCGGCGCCGGGCTTGAAGAGGACGGCGGTGGCTTTGACGCCTTCTGTATGCGCGAGACTCATCAATTGTTCACCGTCCACCGTGTTCCAGCCACGTGTGAAGCTGCCGCTGGTGCACACAACGTCACCGCATACATCGAACCGTTTTGGCTCGTATCGTGCTTCAATATCAGAACAACCCTTTTTACCATATGGTGCTCTGCGATTAACGCAAGAGACATCTGGCAAGCCAGAATCTTCCGTAGGCCCTTTGGGCTCAGGCGAGGTTGACGTGGGATTGTCGGCCTTGTCTGAGGTTTTGCTCTCAATCGTTCTGGATCTATTTCGAGCTGGAGGTGGAAGAAATTGCTGCGTCGACAGGGATTGAGAATTGGGGGCCGGCAGAGTATCTCGTCTGGGCAGCGACTGTTGCGCTAGTGGCCGTACTGGACGAGGGGGCGGAGCCATGTCGCGTGCGGTGTCAAGGGCCTTCGAGAGAGTCTCTTGGGTAGGGCGGCGGACAGGCAACGGTGGTGGGACTTGGTCGTGATCCGGGAGATTATTCGCATTTGTATAGGCGCTTCCCACGCCATTGCCAATAGCATCGTCTCGTCTCCTGTCAACCACGCTGTGGTGTAAAGGCGGAGGCTGAAAGCTGGGTGCGTTATGATTTTGCCTGGCTACGGCATGGTTGGTGGTAGGACGGGGTCGTGAAGGTAGCTGAGGAGGGGGTTCGTCTTCGGACTCGGAACTTGAAGAGGGTGGGCTGCTAAAAGGCGAAGGGTCTGTTGTTGCGATGCGCCTGGGCAAGGACTCTTGCCGCGGCGGAAATGCTGTCAAGGAAGGGAGTGCGCTCGCTCGCTTTTCTGAGCGACCAGTAGTCGCGGGAGTCAAGGTGCGGGCTTCTTTATCGCGGCGAGGTTCTAAGGAGCGTCTCGGAGGAGGTGGTGAAGGTGGCTTAGAGCCGACAAGTCGCGGGGATCTCGGAGGCGGGAGGCCGTGTGTAGGTGTAAGTGGCCGACTTGAAGCAGCGCTGGGGGGTCTCGAGGATGCGAGGGGATTCGAGACGGCAGTGGATGGATCTAGAAACGGCGATTGGTCGCCGCGCAGTGGTTGACGTTGGGTCTGCTGGGGAGGAGACTGAGGTGGTTGGACAGTGACAGGAGGAGGTATAACGACGGACTCGTCGAGGGCTGGGCGAACTTGTTGGGGAGGCAAGGTGGTGGTGCTCTGCAAAGGCTTCGGCTTGAGGGGAGGCTTTGCCTTGACTATGGGGGGTTTTGTCGGGGTGACTGGTGGAAGTGGTGCATCGGTCGTCGACTTGAAACTTGACAAATGTTGAGGCTTTGGAGCGGGGGATCGAGGGATGGCAGAGTTGGGTTGAGCTGGCGCATTATTCATGCTCTCGAAACGCGCGAGCAGAGAGGAAACCGGCTTCTGCGACGGGTAGATTAGCTAGCTGTAGAGGGGTCTGGCATCGTCAAAGCACGCACGATGGATGAGCCATCTGTCTTGTCGGCGGGGGGCTCCATGGCGAGCGATTCGGAAAGGCACTGTGACTGTGGGGTAGAGGCTCAGCATCCCCCATCAGAGACGAGACGGCCTGGAGGTTGTGAGAGCATCAAGAGCTCGAGAGGAGTTTTGAGGTTCGTTGTGCCGTCGAGAGGGGGGCGGGAAGGGCGAGGTATGAGCAATGGGGAGCGGCGGTTGAATACGAGGACGGAGGCGAGTGGGATCGAGAATGGAATCGAGAATGGAGTCGACAAGATGGCGGAGAGGACGAGCGGGTGTTTGAAGGGAGGAAAATGGGTTCGGCGAGGCGCAGTTCGGCGTATTGGTGGCAAAGTCGAGAGAGGCGCGGGATGGAGGATGGAGGCAGGGTTTATGCAATTTAATGTGGCACAAAGAGGCGCGTCGAGTGATTGCGTGTCTTTGAGACAAGACAGAGAGAGATGCAGTGGGCAAGTTGCCACAGAAAAGTGAAGCCCCACGGCTGAGTGTTGGGGAGGGTAGTGCCCACGAGGCAGAGAGTGCGGTCCTTGGTAGCAAAGATTTCTTTGGTTGGCTGTACACTTTTGATATCTACTTCTTTTAAGATTTAACTTTTTCCATTTTCTAGAAAATAACAACCTTGTACGAGGCTATCTCTGCCCGTTCTCTATAGCCTGTCTATTATTAGAGGTACACGAGAGGCGAGAGGCGGGGCCAGCCTGTGACTATTTTAGGGGACTTGGCGCAGTTTACGACGCTTGATTAGGACACGCTTCATCATCACCAAGAACAAACGAGGGCACTCCGACGACTGTGCCGCAATCGTCAGCATCGCCTGCGCACATGAGATGAATCTATGTCGGAAAAGGGCCATTGAGAGTACGACGCGAAGAAGAGGCATTCGACAATCGCGTGCGCCGCAGCAAAGTCCTTTGCCATTCCTCGTACGCGCTCCCCGACTAAGCGAAGCACATCCGCGCACGGTCACTCGTCAATCACAAAGCCGGCGCTTATAATAATAAAATAGGTTTGGTGTCAAGATGGCTTAGGAGCCGCTGGCCGGGTGCATCGCCTCGCTGCGACCACTAACACGCCGTCTTTCTCTACCCGACTTGTTATTCCTCTGCGCCGACCGAATCCAGGCCAGCCCGAGTCAAGGCAACAACTATTTGGGCTTGATTTCGCGTGACCCAATATTTATGCCTGACCTGCTCACTCTTGCAGCCGCTTCTTGACAAACTCCAACGCCTTGGAGCCATAGACCTTGTAGTAGCCGTTGTGAATGGCGGGCCTGCTCCCGTTTGAGCAGAACTCGTCACCAACGTCACGGTACAGCTGAATCGCAGCGTTATAGTTGCCACAGCTAACTTGGCTCTTACGCCGCATGTCGAACTATAAAACAAGACACGTTGAATAAGCGCGAGGTTCCTAGGTGGCCCGACAAGAAGATGAACATACCCCGCCAACAGTGGCGTTGCCAACATGGAAAGGTTCCCCAGGCGCTGACGGAACAAGTCAGCACAAAATCGATAGTAATGTCACAAATCGTGCGGAAACACCTTGGGAACTGAGGCTGCCTGTGCCAAGGACGAGGCCAGGAGCAGTGCAAATATCGTACCGTGCATGGCGTCAAGTGACAGTGGCGGAATGAAGAACGCGTGTGGTTAAGGCTGGAGATACGGACAGCAGGTCGGGTGTGCCGATCAGCGCGGAATCTCGGCAGATGATAGTAGCATTAAAACTGGCGCTTGAAGGATCCTGATAGACTGGAAAATATCGTCAATCAGATTAATAAGCTCAGTAGTAGTCTTGCGGCCCCTCCCGGTTTTGGAGATGCAATGCTCTAAAGTTGTACCATGACCCGGAGCTGCCTGCGATCCAAGCTCTACAGGGCAACAGTGTATTCCAGCAACTCTACAACATGAACCCTGCAGTAAACCGGCTTGGCAAGTACGATTAGATGGAATTCATAGGCCTGCCACCTTGATCAGGACCGACTTGGTCTCCATGAACGTCTCCATGCTGTGGATGTAGCTCTCCCGCTGCAAGCCGCTGCCTTTGTAGCCTCCAAACGGCACGTCGTCCCCCTTCGTCGGGCTCGTGCAGTTGACGCCCACCGTGCCAGCCTCCAGCCTTGCCGCCACCCTCATCGCGCGGTCCAGGTCCTTGGTGTACACAGCCGCGTACAGGCCGTACTCGCTGTCATTCGCCTTGACCACCGCCTCCTCCTCCGTGTCGAACGTGTTGATCGCCACCACCGGCCCGAAAATCTCCTCCTTCATCATCCGCGCGTCCTCCGGCACGTCCACGAAGATTGTCGGGTTGACGAAGAACCCCGGAGCGTCGGCGGCGTCGGCGTCCGCCGTGACCAACGTGCCGCCCGCCTCCTTGCCCATCTCGATGTAGCGCAGCACCGTGGCGTGCTGGATCGCGTCGGCCTGCGGCCCGTGGGTGGTCTCGGGGAGGGTCGGGTCGCCCATGCGGGAGGCCGCGAAGGCGACCCTGAACTTGTCCAGGAAGGCCTGGGCGACGCCGCGATGCACGTAGATGCGCGAGTTGGCGATGCACGTCTGCCCACTGAGGAGGTGAATGCTGAAGCGAGTATCGCGGACGGCCGCGTCGATGTCGGCGTCGCCGAAGATGATGGCGGGCGACTTGCCGCCCAGCTCGAGGATGACGTTCTTCAGGTTGGACTCGGCGGCCATCTTGGCGATCAGCCGGCCCGTCCTGTTGGAGCCGGTAAAGGAGATGGCCCGGACGTCCATGTGCGATGCCAGTGGGGCACCGACATTCGGGCCGTGGCCGGAGAGCACGTTGACCACCCCGGGGGGGAATCCAGCCTTGCTGATGAGGTCTGCGACGTACAGGCTCTGTGTGATTCATCGTCAGTCCCAGAGAAGCACGAAAAAGGAGGGTAGCTGCCAGCGTACCGTCAACGGTGCCTTTTCGCTGCTCTTGAGAACGACGGCGTTGCCGGCGGCGAGGGCCGGGGCCAGTTTCTTGGCGAGGAGAACCAGGGGCACGTTCCAGGGGATAATGACGGCGACCACGCCGACCGGCTGCTTCAGCGTCACGTTGACGAAGCCCGGGGTGTTGAGGCTGGAGCTGCCCTGCGGATACGCCGCCTCGGAGAAGTAGCGAAAGTACTTGGAGCCCACGACGGCGTCGAAGTAGCTGGACACGGGACGGCCCATGGACTCGGCCTCGAGCCGGGCCAGCTCGGCGTGCGACTCCTGGATGAGGTCGGCCAGCTTCGCGAGATGCCGTCCCCTGTCGTGCGGCGACAGCGCCGCCCATGCGGGGTAGGCCGCCTTGGCAGCGGTGACGGCATCGTCGACGTCTTGGGCTGTGGCCTCATATACTGTTGTGCTGGGCGGATCAGGAAGGCGCTCGGGCTGACGAGATTTGAGATGGAGGTGTGTTTGCTCCAGGAAAGAGGACGAACCTTGAGCGAGGAGTTCACCGGACGCAGCGGAGGGCAGGTCAAACGTAGCGCCGTCGGAGGAGGCGCGGAACTGGACTGCGTTAGCAACTGGACTTGTCCTGTTAGTAAGGATTGATACCAACTTCACCATTGATAAAGAGCCGCGTTTCAATGATTCTTCCGCTGGCCATGTTGCAGGTTTGAGTGTGGTGGATGCTGCTTTGGTAGAGATGGGTGAGTTCACATGTTGTACATACTTCCGCTTGAGAGGAGAAGGGAACGCGGGGATCAATCATGCAGTGCAACGGAAGCAACAATATACATTACTAAGCCAACTGAAAACGTCCAAATTTAGTTATGGGAAGCTGATAGTATTTAAAGAGCCGGGTGGTAGGGGTATCTCATCCACATACAGCCTGATCTGATTGATGAACGAGCGTAGGTCATAAAGAGGCAAAGCTCCGACCCATGCATAGCACGTAGTTGGCACTTGTTTTCGCGGCAGTATTCGTCAAGTAACCACGGGGCAGCGACAAGGTTGCAATGGCAATTCGCTTTATTAAAGCCAGCCCACCGCGCATTCTGGGCCAGAGATCTGCGACCGCGCATCCTCTCCCCATCTCCTGTCCGGTATGGCAATCCTAGCATCTGAAAGAGCCGACAAACCTCCAACCATGACAGTTCCGGATTCTGGTTCCAAAACGGCAGAAGACGTCGAAAAGACCGATCGCATTATATGCAGTTCTGCGGCTCCCGTGGCGGAAGACGACGATGGCATCCCCGACCCCGGGGCTGAGAGACGGCTGCTCCTCAAATGCGACCTCCGGCTGATCCCGATCCTCGGGACGCTGTACCTCGTCTCCTTCCTGGACCGCTCCAACATCGCCAACGCTCGGCTCTTCGGCCTCGAGAAGGACCTGGCGATGCCGTCGACCGGCTTCAACAACTGCCTGTGGATCTTCTACGTGCCCTTCATCCTGGTGGAGGTCCCCAGCAACCTGTTCATGAGCCTGAACAAGATCAAGCCGAACCAGTATCTCGCCGGTGCCATGTTCATCCTAGGCGTGGTGTCCATGTGTCAGGGACTGGTCGGGAGCTACGGCGGGCTCCTTGCATGTCGATTCATCATGGGCATCATGGAAGCCGCGTTGCCCCCAGGTAGGGTTACGATTTTGACCTGGATAGATCCGCAGCAGAATTAACCAACACTAGCAGGTGCGGCTCTATTAATCGGCCAGTATTACAAGAGACACGAGTACTATCTTCGCTTCTCCTACTTCTTCTCCTTTGCGCTGCTTGGCAGCGCCTTTAGCGGTGTACGTCTCGACCAAGAAGCCCACCCACAAACCTCAAACTAACCTGGCGGATAGCTCCTCGCATACGCCATCGAGCACATGAATGGGCTGCAAAACTACGCGGCCTGGCGCTGGGTCTTCATCCTCGAGGGCCTCCTGACCATCTCCTTCGCCCTCGTCGCGTGGCTTGTCATCCCCGGCTTCCCTTCCGACGCCACCTTCCTCGCCGCCCCCGAGCGCGCTCTCCTCCTCTCACGCCTCCGCCTTGACCGCAGCAACTCCGAAGACACCAAACTCAGCAGCGCCGGCCGGGCCCTCCTGGACTGGAAGGTCTGGGCCTTCACGCTGCTCTTCTTCTGCGCCGACATGGGCGCCGCCTCCGTCTCCGCCTTCACGCCCACCATCCTCCACGAGCTCGGGTGGACCGCCTCGCGCGCGCAGGTCATGAGCATCCCCGTGTGGATGTTCAGCATCGCCGGCACGCTCGCCGCCTCGTACGCCTCCGGGCGGCTCCCCGCGCGCTGGCCGCTCGTCCTCTTGGGCGCCGCGCTCGCGCTGGTCGGCTGGTGTCTGCAGTACGCCCAGGTGCGGCCGGCGGCGGTGCGCTACTTCGCGCTGTACCTGGTGGCGCTGGGCTCGGTGATGCAGTTCCCGCTGCTGCTGGGGTGGCTGAGCGGCAACGTGCGCGGGCGCGCGCGGCAGGCGGTGGCGGGCGCGGTGCAGCTGGGCGTGGGAAACTGCGCCAACTTCGTGGCCAGCAACGTCTTCATCACGCGGGAGAGGCCCAGGTACCCGACGGGATTCGCGACGGGCGTGGGAATCGCGACCCTGGGCATCGTGACTCTGGTTCTGGTGACGGTGGTGCTGGCTTGGGAAAATGGGCGGTTGCAACGACGGCAACACGATGCAGAGGACGACGGGGGAGCTCAAGACAAATATCGTTATCTGCTGTAACTTGAAGCGACCTTTTGTAAGCCCGCACGATTCAGCTGTGTAATCGTGCACGCGGGGAAGATGTAGAGTAGATATAGTGCGTCAGCATTTCCCACTCGCAAACTCAGCTTCAAGCTTGTCTGGCCCTCTGCGACCGAGCTGTCCACTCGTCTTCAAGAATGCCCATCAAAACCTCATCCCACCACTTCCCATCTTTGAAGAAACACTTCCTCCTTCTCCCCTCTTCCACGAATCCTGCTCGCTCATACAACGGTCTCACCCGCTCATTCCAGCCCAGATACTCGAGCTCGACGCGGTGCAGCCCAGCCTTCCGGAACGCCCACGCCAGTGTCCAGTCTAGCATCTCTGCGCCGTAGCCCTTACCCTGATGCTCACGCACGACATCAATCGCCAACCCTGCGCATCTGTGGTGCGCCATGTCAGGGTCCGACGAGCTCAGCGATACACTACCGATCGGCTCAGATTTGCCTTGTCCCCCTCGTCGTCAGCCATGCGCTCTGCGAAGTCAAGTTGGGAGACAAGCCTTACTCGGGTCTAGATCGACTCTGTAGACAATAACGAATAGGAGCGACTTTTCGATCAGATCCTTCAAATTTTCTTCAATCGCCTTCTTGTTCATCGGCCGCAAGACAGAGGCGGAGGAGCTGACGAGGGCTAGGGGTTCCTTTTGCAGTGCGGCAAAGAAGGCATCGTGCTCGTCCGGGTCGTAGCCTCGATATTCCAGAGTCTCTGACCGGAAAGGATTCGTTTCGTCCATTTGATCCCGGGTATCCTGCATGCACGCGAATTACGTGCCCGTTGCGGTTGATGATGTCAAGTAACTGATTGCGGAGTTGCCCCTCGCCGTCTTGTTCGCCGAACAAGGCTGTCTGCCTTGCCCAACCAAACCTGGTTGGGTTGGTTGACAAGGCAGCAAATTATCTTAGCCGTAGAACGAATGCTTTTCTACCCGAAAAAAGATCCCCAAAGAATCCAGACTCAATTAACATCAGACGAAATCGAAGTTGTGTTAAGAAGCCTGCAAATTCACGACTGTCTTCAAGAATTGTTCAGCGAAGAGTCGGCTCTCCCTCCACGGATACGCCGACCCCCAAAGGTAGGCATTAGCCCATTTCATTGATGTTTTAATCTGGCATTAACTTGTTGCCAATCAAGATGACAGCAAGTCCCGAGACTCTGTGCAACACGCCAGAGATTTATTAAAAGAGTTCATTAGGATGCTTCAATCACCCCTCAACAACTTGCTCATCTGAAAGTGAAACCGAGCCCGATCAGCATCCACCATGAAAGCCAGGGTCTGGGTTCTTCACCGCATCCAAGGGTTGTGTTGATTACCTGCTAGTTAGTTTAGTCCAAGGACCAGTACGGCCCAGACCGAGACGCACTCCACCAATAGTGCGCCGCCGCGCCAGCTCTCCCATAAATCATTTAACATGTTCGATGCCTGAAATACCAGGGGGCAGACAATTCGCAGCCGTAAATGACCGTGGGCATCTCATCTGTGTGTGGCAGTCCCTAACCAGTCGTACTGATTGTCGCTTCGATACGGTGTCACTCGCCTCGCAATCAGACAAGGCATTCAAGTTCCCGTAACCCCTCCTCCAAGCCCCTGTTCCGTACTTCGTTAAATCCTTGTCAAGCTTGTCTGCGAGCTTGAAATCGTCCCACAAGGCTAAGTTAGTTTTTAACCATGAGCGGGCCCCGTACATCTCGAGGAGGGGCGAGATATGGCAACATGTGAGTGTCTGCCTTGCAGCTCTCTGCCTCATGTTGATGACTAGCCCCAAAGGTACTCCATCTTCATCAATCTCGTACCTACAGTCGGGCTGGAAATAGGGGGAGAGTGGAGAATTCTGGTTCTTCATCACGCTGTGCAGGGTACAGCGGAAGCAATCGACTGGGCAGTGATGCATACCGCCACGCCCACCAGCCCCGTCCATGGCCCTTGACCAGCTGCGAGTCCGCATCTGGCCCACGATACTTGAGAATGAGGGGTTGCGCCATAATAGATTCGCTTACTCCCAAGTGAGGGGTAGTGTGTTGTCGGTGTAAGAGCTCTCGTCCATGTATATATATACTCATCCCTCCTCGGTTGAGCAATCCCCTTCTCCGATTTCACCAACAAGAAACACATAATCCTTCAAAATGTCTTTCAACACCAACAGCTCCAACATCCGTGTCGATGACGGCCACATTCTCCGTGCCACCGTCCGCAACGGCAACGGCGAGGAGGTCGACAGTGAGCTTGACCTGAACAGCTGCCTTGGCAACAACAACGGTCGCTTCGAATGGGGTGGCAGGGGTAAGCATCATCTCCTTTCTCTCTTCTTCTTAGACGCCGGATGATCAAGCATCACCTAACATGGCCCCAACCAGACTTCTCTGGCTCCGCCGAGAACATCTACTTCTCTGTTGAGGGTGATGCTCAGGTCCCTATCCTTCGTGCCCGCCTCCGCGGATCCGACCAGTCCTTCGATGCCGACGTGAATCTGGCCGAGCGCATTGGCAACGACAACGGCCGCCTGTCCTTTGGTAAGCCATTCACCTCTTCCAATTATACAGGGCATCTTGAGCGAAGATTGGCTAACCATGCGGCAGCTTAAGCGACATAAATCCCCCTTTTGAGCTTCTGCGGGCCCTAAACTGTTCATCAGTTTCAGTGTGAAGAGAGTCGCCTCAATCGAAAGTTCGAGGATACTCTTCGTAGGGAAATCAAATAAATCGTTAAATCCGCATTCGTTCGCTGTCGTGATTGAAGACCTTGTGGTGATATGTTTGCTCCTTAGAGGAAAGAGTCGATCCATGAATTCACGTCGCTTTCGTCTATGTCACCAGGAAGCAAGTCGCTTAACAAGCTCTGGGCATAGGCAGCGGCGCCTGCATCCTCTGTCCAAGTAGTATCTTTGGAGCAGGAGGCATTTGGTTCCCTGTCCGAGAGTAATTCGCGTAGCTTGCAGACTTCGGCGGCGAGCTCGGGTGATGGCCAGAGATTTTGACAACTTTCTAGAAGTCGCATCTGTCGGACGAGGTAGTCTGCAGCATCCGAATGCAGCCTTGGATCTGGCGACGTGAGCGCAGCCTAGCATGCAGGTCAGTGGCTGCCAGCTGCAGGCGCATGCCTTGGGTACTTACCAGATGTACGGCTACGCACAGGAGCATGCAGTAAATTGTAAAGTTTGCCCCCCGTTGCATGCATTGCACCCCACGCAAGCCAAATTGCTGGATGATAGCCTCATGAAGGCGGCACTGCTCCTTGGCCGCGGCGTGGCAGAGTAGCATGTGTGTTAGCCACTGCGCATTTGCGGTGTGTTGGTTGTAGAGTGGCAGTTGGACCCGGTTGAGCATGATCAGCCCGAGGCAGTAAAAGGCGTGAAGATGTCCGACGAAGGCAGAGCTGATGTTTAGACATGAACCCTCACTACCGCGATCGAGTGCCAGTCGGGCAGGCAGGCTATTCAGCCACATCTCCAGGGTAGATTTGTGACGGAGAAATTCCGTTTCTGTGGCCAGTCTAGCGTCGACCTTTCCCACCAGGTACGTAGAGTATAGTTCTTTAATGCTGCGTAAAAGACGGGCGAGTTGCGTAAATTGGGATTCTTCCGGCATCGCTGGATCGGCGTCTTCGCCCAGACCTAAATAAAAGTCCACAGTCCCCAGAGGCACTGTTAGAGCAGAGTATGCTTGACCGGGCGTTAGCGTTGCTTGACCAAACATACACAGCTGCTTACCATTTGGGTAGCTGATCATAACTTCAACCACGTAGATCGTCTGCCAGATCCGCCGCATAAGTCGACACTCGGCGACACTGGAATCACAGGAACCAGTCTGCTGGTGAGTGGTATGGCGACTCAGCCCAAGACTCTGAGCTATTTCGATGCACCTAGAAATACCCAGCCACGAGTCAAAGTAGTAATTTTCTTTTGGCATCGACTCTTTCGCCTTGAGCAGGATCAGAAGGGCCTGTAGAGTGCTGAGGTCTGCCAGGTTACGAGACGGAGAAAGTTGACCTTCAACTCATCAGTACTGGAGCAGCCACGTGCATCAGGCATCATGGCAGACTTACCTCTTGCGAGACGAAACCACTTTAACGCGTTCTCAGGAGCGTCGTTGAGAGTCTCCACGAGGCTGAAGATGGCGCTGCGCGTTGGTAAGGGGATCGATTCTCTGTCCAAGTCCCAGCGCTGCAGAAAGTCTTGCTTGTCTAGAACCGGTACGAAGGGGTAGGCGTGTTGGAAGAAAAGTTGAACAAGTGAGGTAAGCTTTCCCCCAGTAATTTTCTCTTCAGCCTTCTGCGCCAACTCGAATTCAAATAGAGGGCCGCCAACGGATGTGTGCAGGTCAGGAGCGAAGCCGGCTCGGATCCCGTTCGAATTGTTGGCCTCGGCGTCCGCGACGTACGGGCCTTTGTCATTCACATTAGCCCATGTTCGCGAACCCGCTCCATAGCTTCAAAGACTCATGTTACGTACCGACGAGAACGTCGTCGATTTCTAGCGACCCGAGTAGGGTGGATAGATCTTGCTGCCGGTAAAGGTCTTGCAGCGAAGACACCGGGGAGTCCCTGGCGGAAGGTTGCCTGTAACGCACGAGACTTGCCAGGTGATCTCTGATGGAGTCGTCTGTTACTTCCTCATCGACCTTATCGGAACTCGAGGCGGGGCTTGGGGCACTTTTCTGATCGGGTTCATGCACTGTTGAGGACATGCCACCCGCCTCCGATGCCTGCTGTTCGCAATCCGACCAATAACTAACGTCGCTCGGGGTGCCTATAGGCAACGTTAGTAGTGAAAACCTTGGCAGACAATTTTTCATTTTACAATGCTTACTTGCCCTGGCTTCCGTAACGTCGTTTCGTTTCGTACTTGTCCTCTCGACCCAGCGACGTATCTTGGCCAAGGGTACAGCTTTGCCGCGGACCCGAAAAGCGTACGGTGAGCGTGATGCAAGATAGGCTTGTCTTTCGTAGTATTTGCGGGCAATAAAGTCCATCTCCCTTGTCTTGACATTTTTATCCAGTCCCCATTGCGAAATTCGACTTCGGTATTGTCGCAGCCTAGGGTTAAAAAATTAGCTGCGTTCCTTATGGCGGCGCGGCGCAGTACAGGATGCACGCACGTAGCTTCGAAACCTCGCTCCTTTTGCATGAGAGCTCTTACGTCTGGCAAGGACATGTTTTGCCTGACATAGAGCTCGACTATCCTCGTTTTGAGGGGCTCCCAGTCATGTCCTCTCAGCGTTGGAGCTTTGCGCCGCTGCTGCGATTTCGCGTCCACGGCGGGCTCCCTGACGGGCATGGTTTGCAGACGGCCAGCATTTGATGCCCCCCAGGCAGCATCTAAGCCCCAAATCGGAGTAGAGACGGTAAGAGAGAAAGTACCTAGCTCGGAGGTTGCGCCGCGAATGTTAAGGAATCGGAGATGGATGGTGCGTGGCTCCGTGTTGATCTACACGGCCAGGGAAATTATAACCATGAGCTTGGCGGGGTATTGCCGCCCAGCCTTTCCCACACTCCATCCGTCGAGATTGCCCCACGCTAATAAGTACCTGTGGAAACAAGAACTAGATTTCGAGTTCTAATTACTTAGGAATCAGATTAATCTGATTAACAATAAAGGAGATAAATTCAAAGCTTCAAAACTTCTACTCGGGTTTGGAAGCGACATTCAACCTCTAATGTATGGCTAAATCAGCGCCTTGGTGGGAGATTTTTACGGTACATTAAACGAAGAAGACTGTCACAACCGTTTCTAAATCAACAGCCTGCATTTTTGACTCTCTGAGTCAATGTTATATCTTGGGCAATTTATTTCTTCTTCTAGTTCTGCGATGTGGGGAGGCCGCTGCTACACGCCTTACCATCGCGTAAGGTTTGAGGAGATAGGCGTCCAACATTGGCCAAGGTGATTAATTAAGAGAGGTACAATACCTGCAGCCTAGATTCATTTCCATGGTTTTCCCGACGCGGTCGTAGATGCCAAGTACGACACAGCCCCAGCGCACGCAACTGATAACGAATGTAGCCCATCCGTCCCATCCGCGCTTCCACATTCTATTTGCACACAATCAGCTCATGCTAGAGTTGGCGTCCGTTCGGAAATTCAACGCCGGGGCAGCGGCTCCGCGATGAAACACCGCGGGCTGTGCCTTCAAACACTCATCACCGTGTCGGCACTCAAGAAACCCAACCCGGCGTAGGTACCGAACGTTGGCCTTGACCGCCTCGCAGAGAGTTTTCCTGTCTGGGGGGACCAGTGGCGTCAACGTCGAGATGCCGCCTCCGCCACCCTCGTGTTTTCCCCGTCTGCTTTCCAGAAACTCTTGCAGTGGCCACAGTGGATGGCTCTCGCCGACCTGTTGCGTCTGGGCCAGCGCGCGCTCAACCCAGATATTCCACGGCGCGGGCTCGCACGCATGCTCCAGCTCCGAATTAAGCTGCCCCCAAAAGTCCCCAGCGCGGAGGCCATACTTGGTCGCCATGCCGATGTACGACGAGACGAAGGCGCCGCTGTCGTTGTTGTCATCATCATCGGAAAGCACCTGGGCCACGACCCGTGCCGCGACGAATCCCGCGTCTGTGATGGGAATCCAGCTGTCTGCATCCAGGGGGTAGAGACGCAGGCGCGCGGCCGCGGCGACGACGCGCCAGATAAAGTCGTCGAGGTTCGCGACCCCCGCGTCCGGGGTCCCGATGATCATGCCGGGCTTGACAACGGAGAATCGGTTCTGCGAGGGTGGCAGCCGGGCGGCGAAGCGGCGGACAATGGCTTCTGCGACGAACTTGCTCTGCGAGTAGCCGTTGCTTCTTCTGCTGCTGAGCTGTTCCAATACGGCACTGTTGCCCGGGCTCACGTCCAGGTCGGCCATGGCGCCGCCGGATACAAAGACAAAGCGCGGCGAGGCGCGAGACAGGGCCGCGGCCTTGAGCAGCTGAACGGTGGATAGTGTGTTGGGCAGCCGCAGTCTGTCGTAGTGCATGCTCCAGTTCACGACGGCACCGTTGTGGATGATGGCGTCGATGTTGCCGCCTGCGGCGGCCGTTCCCGAGAGCTGGCTCCATTGCGCGTCATTGAGCCCAAGCCTGTCCAGGGTTAAGTCACCTGTCCAGACATCGATGTGTGCGTCGTATTCTGCCTTCCACCACTCTGCGGTGACTGCTGTACTGCGCAGCCGTTCCAGCCCTTGAGCAACCGAGGCCGCACGAACAAGGGCAACCACCCGCTCGACGGCGGTTGATGTCAGAAGAGTGCGCAAAATCTGCGTGCCCAGAAACCCAGTCCCACCCGTGAGGAATACAGTCAGGCGGCCGATCGTTGGCCTGACTGGCTTGAACCATGGCTCACAAATCGCCGACGTCCAGGTCGAACAAAGTGCCTCACCAATCTCTCCCTCAAGGTCAAGTGGCGAGTCCATCTCTGCCTTTCTCTCGATATACTCCGCCATCTTGGCAATTGTCGTTCTGCGACTGTTGGCTAGTGACAGCGCCAGCCAAACGCCAAATTCATCCTGGATTGCCTTCATGAGTCTGATGATACGAATTGAGTCCCCGCCAATGTCGTAAAAGTTGTCATCGATGCTTATCCTCTCGCTTGGGAGCCCAAGAACCACCCCCCATGCATCTCTCATGCTCCTCTCCGTCACACTAGAACAGTCGCGAAATGTTGAGGGTAGAGATGACGACAACGTAGCTCGTTTGGAGGGGTTCTCGTCGCGCAACCAGATTTCCTCTTCCCCAGCGAGGTGACTCTGTTGCTGCGTTTTGTGCATTCCATCGGTACTCGCCCCATGATGTTGAACGTAGTCTGTGGCGATGCCTTGGAGGTGCCTGCGATCCAGTTTGCCCGATGTATTCAACGGTAACCGCCCGACAGCAAGATATGCGCTAGGTAGCATGTATGCTGGTAAACGATCCGCCAAACGGTCCCTTGTGGGAAGCGAGAGGCCAACGGCTCGAACATGATTCTCTGATAGGGATACCTCGTTTCCAAAGCGCAAGAAAGCCGCCAACTGAGACCCGGTAGCCTCCATGTTTGGCGTGATAGGCACCACGACTGCCTGTTCAACTCCGGCGATGCAGTCGCGTAGATGGCATTCCACTTCCCCCAACTCTACACGGTGGCCTCGAATCTTAACCTGTCCGTCTTTGCGTCCAAGGTACGTCAAGCTCCCGTCTTCACTGTATCGCACCAAGTCACCCGTCTTGTATAGTCGACCCCGCCTACCCGCGCGACCAGCAATGCCCTGCACTAGCCACGACGGATCCTCAATGAAAACTGCCGATGTCTTTTCCACGTCGTTCAAGTAGCCGCGGGCCAGAACTGGTCCCTCCACGAGCAACTCACCGACGGCCCCAATTGGCACGAGCTTGTCATGGTCATCTGGAGACACGACCCAGGAGACTGAGCCGACAGCCTTTCCAATCACCGAGCCCGCACCGCTGCTGGTTTGTATATCATTTATTGAGCAGAATATGGTACACTCGGTCGGACCATACGCGTCAAAGACCCGGGAAAGGTGTGTCCACTTTTTAAAGTCGTCATCCGTTGCGTTTTCGCCCACAAAGATGATGCTTTCCACGGAGGGCATGCGGTGCGGCTCGACAAGCCTTGCTACCGAGGCCGTCAAAGACACGGTATTGACCTTCATCGCCTCGGCGCTCAGCTCCAGCCCATGGAACCTGTCGGCTTCGGACGGCACACAAACGCAACCGCCGTACAGGAGCGTCGTGAATATCTCCATCAAGCTGATGTCAAATGTGTACGAGGTGAATTGGAGCATCCTCGTCCGTTCACTGAACCCCATCCTCGAGCCGTGGGCAAGACAGCTGGTACTCAGAGCGCCATGGTCCACGACGACCCCCTTGGGCTCACCGGTGCTTCCAGACGTGAAGAAGACGTACGCGGCAGTGGTAGAGGTAGCCAGTCCGTGCACCTCTTCAGTCGATGGAGGAGCGGTCAACGGTGTCAGTGGTGGAAGAGCCTTCAGGCTCGCATCATCCACAACAAAGACGACTCGTTTGGCCGTGGCAAGCGCTGCGGAATGTTTGGCCGACGACAGCACCACCTCTGCGCCGACTCGAGCCAGGATGGCCTCTCTTCGACCGGCGGCCTGGGACACGTCCAAAGGGACAAACGCACAGCCGGCTTTGAGCACCGCCAGCATTGCTACCACTGCCCACCGTGATTTCTCGAAGCAGACCGGGACCATTGTCCCAACTGTTGCGCCGAGACTGGTCAAGTGCCTTGCAAGCCTCGCAGACGCATCATCTAGCTCGCCAAACGTGAATCCACCATCCCACGCACAGATGGCGGGAACACCTCGTCTCGTAGCAAGGCCATTGCTTATGAGATCATGAACACAGGAATCCTCCATTTGAGGGATAGTTGCGTTCCACGCCCACACTTCTCTGGCATCATCGATACTCTGTGAAGGGATCGACGACACAGGTTTCCAGGGCATGGCGGTGATGTGTGCCAGCGCCGCGGAGTACTGCTTCAGAAGGCGGTTCACCAAAATGGCGGGTATTAGGTCGGAATCGAACGTCGCATGAATGTGGACTGACCCTACTGAGGGCGTACACTCAAGAGTGATGGGATACGTCTGAAAAGCTCTACTGCGCTGTCCCATTTGGATCTTGTATAAAGGGCTCTCTGGAAGCTCCTCCTCCTCTCTGGATTGTATTATCAAAAGACTCTGAAACCGGCAAGTGTCCGCATAGCCGAGCTGGCAGATTCGTTGTAAACCCGTCTGCTCAAAGGGAATCATTCTCAGGCTTCTTGATTGCACTTCATCCAACGCATCCTGAATGGCCATGGTGGGGACATGTCGAACGCGAAACGGAATAGTTGCAATCGTCGGCCCAGTGATTGTGCGAATGCCTCTCAGATTCGCCATTCGACCGCTAACCACGGTGCCAAAGACGGCATCACTCTCCCCGGTAAACATCGATACAACGACCCCCCAAGCAAGCTTGAGTGCGGCCGATAACTGCACAGTCGTGGCTCCATTGGATGAAAAAGGAGCATGACACTCTGTGTATTCCGGGGATTGCAATAAATACGAGTCCACAGGTGTCTTGGTGAATATAGACCCAGCGGCGTCTGCCAGCTCGGCAGCCCAGAAGCTTCTCATCTCGTCGTCTGGGGGGAGAGAGAGGCAGCGCTGAATGAAGCACTTGTAAGACTGTGAGACTGTCTTTTCGCTCTGGTAATAAGCCGCAGATAGCTGTGTCAATATCAACCGCAGAGACAGACCATCGTAGAGCGCATGGTGCAGAGTTACCGCTGCCTGATATCCA